CCCCAAAACCCCAAAACCCCAAAACCCCAAAACCCCACGCTACTGTACAAAAATTGTTTCGCAGATTTATATTAATTTCTTGGTTCTAATAATTCTCCGAAATGGCAACTCGTAAACGTAGAGCGAAGGAGGTAGAGAAAGAGGAAGTGAAAGTTACTAAGAGAGGAAGAAGAGTTAAGAAAGTTAATTATGATGATATCTTCTCTGAGAGTTCATCTTCAGAAGAGTAAGGCTTTTGTGTAATTTGTAGGATGATAGATACTAGGAAAAGGAAACAGGAGGATTCAGATCAGGAATTTAATGTGGATGTTGGACCACAAGAGTCATCTTCTGAGGAATCTGTGTATTCAGAGAATTCAGAGCCTGGCAATGATCTTGCTAATGAGGGATCTGTTGGAAAGAAAAAGAAGCTACAAGCTAAAGGAAAAACTAAGGCATCAATCAAAAATCCTAAAGAAGAAATCAAGATGAAGGCTAATGATAGCACGACCAATGTCTCATGTGGCGGCTTTTCCCGTTCTAGTAATCCAATGATTCCTACAATCATCAAAAATCCAAGAACTCCGAAGAAAACTCCATTTGGCTTGGATGAAGATGTGGAAGAAATTGATGGACAAAAAGTGCCGGATTTTATCAGGAAAGAGTTTATTAGGGACAAAAACCTTAAAAAACCTGATGATATTGAGTACGATCCATCAACTGTCGATATTCCAAAAGAGATGTACGATAAACTAACTCCAATGCAGAAGCAATATTGGGACATCAAAAGAGATCACTTTGATAGTGTGGTCCTCTGGAGAAAAGGAGATTGGTATATTGTGCTCTATCATGATATCCATGCTCTCAATTCTACTTCTGATAGTCTTCCAAGGACTTTTCATAATGAGCCTGGGTTTTATCAGAACAAATGAGATCATTATATCTCAGAACTGATTAAAAATGGATACAAAGTTATCAGAGTAGAACAGACCGAAACTCATGAGCAAATGAAGCAAAGAGTAGCTGAAAGAAAGAAGGAAATTCAAAAGAAAGGAATCAAGAAAGATAAAATAAAAAAATCTGACCCTGTCCTTGAAACTTGTGTTGGGAGAGAAATAGCTGCTAAGTATACAAAAGGAACCTATCAGAAGCCAGTTCCCATTGCAGACTTCCTTGAAGGGAAAGAAGATAATGATGAAGAACTTGATACAAAATATGTGCTCCTCTATCTATACGATGAGGAGAAGAATACATTTGGGGTGACATACTTTGATATTACTACTCTCCAGTTTTCTATTGGTCAATTTCAAGATGACTCTATGAAGTAAGCTTCATGAATAATTTTTAGAAACAAATTCAGAACACTAATCACAAGAATTCGACCTGTAGAGGTCTTATGTGAGGCAAAGTTTATGAAGTCTGATATGAGCAAAATGCTGAGAAGTTCACCTATTCCTCCAACCTTTTCTAATATCACTGCTCAAGAAAAGATTGACTATCTTGCATGTAAGTTAATGCCAGATTATTTTCCTCAATAAAGGTTTTAGTTTATGAAGTTCTAATATCCATCTAGCAAAAGATATTATTGAGTTCTATCTAAAATCAGAGTCAGGAAAAATGCCGAAGTTAATCCAGAAAGCGATGGAGAATAGCGATGATTATTCACTTGCCCTATCAGCCCTTGGAAATTCTATCAGTAAGTAATCTTTAATGATTATAGAATACTTACAATTCCTTATGATCGCAGACAAGACTGTTCCTCTAGCTGAGTTTTATGAGTACTCTCATGAAAGAAGTACAACATTAGGAGATCGTCAGAAAAATTCAGCAATGATTTTAGATGCTCAGGCTCTTGAAAACTTAGAGATACTTGAAGTCCAAGGCAAGCTGTCAAGGATTCATGAAGGATCTCTTCTCCACCACGTAGATAGGTGCTCTACTAAGTTCGGTAAAAGACTTCTCAAGAAATGGATATGCTCTCCTCTTTTTGATGACAAGAAACTTATTGGAAGACATGATGCTGTTGAGTATCTAGTTAAGCATGATACTCTCTTGAATAAATTCAAAAAGAAGATGAGGAAATATGCAGATCTAGAGAGATACCTTTGCAGAATTTATAAATACAGTATCAGCACAAATTCAAACGCAATATATGTAAATGAGAACTCACTGAGTAGACTTGATGAACTTTATATTTTGCTTTCTCAATTAGAGGATATTACAAAGGACATCTCTGAAATCTTTGGAGATCACAAAGATATCTCCGCTCATAGGCTAAAGGCTTTGGTTACCTTCCAACCAAGAGAGTATTCCAAAGGCTTTGGAACCAAAAAGATAAAGAAGAAGATCAAAAATAAGTACAAGAAAGAGGAGACTAAAGTAATTCCAAGAGAGGAATCAAAGCAAGAGATCAAAGATGGAGACATGAATGCTGACTCAGAGGAAGATGAAAAGGAAGCTCAAAAATATAAAGATGAATTAAACAACCGGCTTGAAAGTGATGGGATTCTGCCAGATATTAGACCAGAACTTGAAACTTTCAGGAAAGTGATAACTTGGAAGACTATTGGAAAGAAAAAATTTCCAGAGCCTACTAAAGGACTCAGTGAGGACTTTGATAATGCTAATGAGAAAGTAGAACAATTAAAAGCATCGATTTCAAATTGATTAGAAAAGGCTAGAAAAGAACTGAAAAACAAAACAATGAAATTCAATACGGCATCTAAAGCAAATAGATTTGAATTCGAGCTTCCAATATCAAGAAAGGAGAATCTTCCTTCAGAATATTTTGTCACTAGTAAATCAAAGAAATTTGTGAGGTTTCAGAATGACGAACTTAAAGATCTTGTTGATGATCTTGTAGAAGCAGAAGATGCTCTACAAGATGCAATTTCTCCTTTCCTTGCCAAACTCTTCAGAAAATTCTACAAAAAGCAATATCTCTGGTCCGACTTCGTCTCCTGCATTGCTGAACTCGACTGCCTCATCAGTCTCGCAATTGTGTCCAAGTTCGAAGATGACATGGTTAAGCCAGTTGTCATCCCAAGATCTTGTGATGCATCAGACAGACCCATTCTTGAACTGCAAGGTGTCAAACATCCTTGTGTGTCGAAGATGCTCAAAGGCGACTTCATTCCCAACAATGTCAGCCTAGGTGGAGACAGTCCGCTTGTCAACATCATCACTGGTCCGAACATGGGTGGCAAGTCAACGCTGCTCAGACAGACTTGCATTGCCATCATCATGTGACAGATCGGGTGCTTCGTGCCTGCATCTTCATGCAGAATGACATTGTTTGATAGGATTTTCACACGAATCGGAGCCAGTGACAGGATTCTCGAAAACAAAAGCACGTTCTTTGTCGAAATGGAAGAAACCAAGACCATCGTTGAGCAGTCTACACCATACTCGCTTGTGATCATGGATGAACTTGGAAGAGGCACTTCAACTTTTGACGGGTACAGCATTGCACATGCAGTGCTGAGTTACCAGGTGAAGCAGAATCAGTGTCTGACTCTGTTCACAACCCACTACCACATGCTAGTCGACTCTTTCAAAGACGAGGCTGAAGTCGAGAACTACAAAATGAGTTGTGAAGTTGACTCTGAGACGCATGATGTGACTTTCTTGTACAAGTTCGAGAAGGGGTACGCAAAGGAGAGTCAAGGAATTTATGTGGCAAAGATGGCTAAGATACCGCTAAGCATATGTGAAAGAGCAAAAGTAAAATGTGATGAATTCAATGATGGCTTAAAAGAGCTTGAAGTGAAATGCAAAATAAGATCAAAGAGTAAAACTGATATTTAATTAATACAACACATTTAGAATACATCTCAATGCATCTACACTACCCAGGGGTTTTGGGGTTTTGGGGTTTTGGGG